TTTCCACGGCCGACCCGATATCAGTCACTGCAGATTCGGGAACCACGGGGTGCTCCTTGCAGCTTCCAATGGAGCTACAAGGATGACTGACAGTTCTTCCTCCCGGACCCGGTCCAGGGTCCATGATGTCAGCGGAGGGAACGCATAAAGGAGCATTTTTGGCCACAGGCTGTGAGCGAAGGCGTCCACCCCTAACGGTGGGTCGTCTCGTGGGAACAGTGAGAACCATAATTGACACTGGGCATTCTCCCATGTGGTGAATAGATCCACTGCTGCTCGGCCGAACCCGTTCCAAATCCGAGAGATCAGCTAGGGATGGAGGCTCCAGTCCCCGGGGCGGGGACCGCCCCTTGACATTATGTCCGCTCCACTGTTCAGGACACCGGGAATGTACACTGCTCTAATGGAAAGCAGGTTTTTGTGTGCCCAACACAGCAGCTGTCTCGCAATGCATAACAGTTGGGCTGAGCGCACGCCTCCCTGATGGTTTATGTAAATTGCCGTCATTTTGTTGTCCGTGTGGATCAGAACATGCTGATACCGCAGCAGGGGGGCAAAATGCTGAGTCACGTTTCAGACGTGAGACATTCTAGCACATATATGTGAAGCGACATGTGGTCCGGCCACTGTGCTCCCACTGCCTGGGACAAACACGTTCCTCCCCAGCCTGACAGGGACACATCTGTGAAAACTGAGATATGTGACATAGGACTGCTGATGGGAACTCCCTCTGACAGAATTAGGGGGGTTTCCCCAGTGATTCAGATTGGTTCTCATGGAGCGGGGCACAGAGATAATCCGCTTCTTCTGGCACACAGGATCTATGCACAGGCGGGCGAACCATCTCTGAAGTCATTTCATGTGAAGCAGGCCTAGTGGAACCATGACGTGAGCCACTGTCATCATCTCCAGGAGTCGCATGGCAGGCAGAGCTGTCACTACGCTGCAGGGTTTGACATGGTGGAGCTGAGCTGACAGAGCTTCGGCTCTCGGCTGTGATAAACGGGCTCTCATTATGGTTGAGTTTAGCTCCACTCCCAGATAAACAATCATCTGGGACGGAAGAATGGAGCTTTTTTGCAGTTTATAGAAAACCCCAGGTTTAGCAGGTGTACCTCTAGCATTTTGGAATGTGCAGCTGCTTTCTGCCTGGATTGAGCTAATAAAAGCAGATCATCCAGATTAAAAAGAATTCTCATTTCTGCCATGTGTAACGGCTACAGAACAGTCTCAATGCATACTGTTCACTTTTATCTTTGTAGAGTTTTGCTTCCTCTAGGTCTCGCACTCTCTGGGTCTCCTGAGCTCATGACAATGTGAAGAAGACAAAGGAGATGGTCATGGACTTCAGACGGAACAAGCACACCTACACCCCCCCCCCCCCAAAAAAAAAAAACAAACATAGGAGGATCTGCGGTGGAAGTGGTCTCTAGCTACAAGTACTTGGGTGAGCACCTGATCAACAACCTCAACTGGGGCAACAACACCACCAGCAACACCACCAGCCTGATCAAGAAAGCTCATCAGAGACTCTACTTCCTCAGGTGGCTGAGACAAGCTGGTCTGGGAAGCTCAGCCCTCACCTCCTTCTACAGGTGTGCAGTGGAGAGCATCAACGTGTTGCATGGAGGCTGCACAGCTGCAGAAAGAAAAGCTTTGCAGAGAGTGGTAAGGCTGCACAGAAGTCTGTTGGAGTCAGCCTCCCCACCATCACAAACATATATCAAGAAACCAGGTCTCGACTTTACCAACTTCAGTAAACTTCATCTGATCTCTAATCTGCCCTTTATTTCCAAAGTTCTTGAAAAAGTCGTTGCTAGTCAACTTCACTCTCACCTATCCAACAATAACATTTATGAAGAGTTTCAATCTGGTTTTCGCCCCCACCATAGCACCGAAACAGCTCTAATAAAAATAACTAATAACCTTCTACTTGCTGCTGACTCTGGTCTTCTGTCTATCTTCATTCTACTGGATCTAAGTTCTGCCTTCGACACAATCTGTCATTCTATCCTCAACAGACTAACCTCCATTGGCATCTCAGATACTCCATTAGAATGGTTAAAATCTTATCTCTCTGACCGCACTCAATTCATTCGGCTTAAATCCTTTTGTTCCCAGTCTTCCCTTATTTCCACTGGTGTCCCCCAAGGCTCAGTTCTCAGACCCCTCCTCTTCATCATTTACCTCCTTCCTCTAGGTCACATCTTCCGCAAATTTGGTATCCATTTCCACTGTTATGCTGATGACACACAACTTTTTCTTAGTTCATATCTTAGATCTTATTACTGTTTTTCTTTTACCTTTTATACTTTTTTTTGGATGTAACTGGGACAATTCGTACGCAATTTCATTCCACCACATGTACCACATGTGGTGTGTATGACAAATAAAGAACCTTGAATCCTTGAATTGTGTGGCTCATACAGTTGATCACAATATTTTACTACAGAGGCTTGAATATGATATTGGGATTACAGGAACGGCTCTAAAATGGTTTAAGTCATATCTATCTGATAGATTCCAGTTTGTAAATGTAAATAAAAAATCTTCTTCATACACCAAAGTTAGTCATGGAGTCCCTCAGGGCTCAGTGCTTGGGCCAATACTCTTTACTTTATATATGCTTCCATTAGGTAAAGTTATTAAACAGCATGGGATAAATTTTCATTGTTATGCTGATGACACACAATTATATTTGTCCATTAAACCCAATGAATCATATTAGCTACTTAGACTACAAGCATGTCTTAAAGACATAAAAACCTGGATGACTTAATTTTCTCCTGATGAACACAGACAAAACTGAGGTTTTAGTTTTTGGACCTGAGCACCTTAGGAATTAATTTTTCAGTCTTTCTCCCTCCCTAGATGGCATTAATCTGTCCTCCAACTCTAATGTTAAAAATCTTGGTGTTATTTTTGATCAGGACATGTTTTTTATCCCCCACATTAAAAACGTTACTAGAACTGCCTTCTTCTACCTGCGTAATATCACTAAAATTAGAAACATCTTACCTAAAAATGATGCAGAAAAACTGGTCCATGCATTTGTCACGTCTAGACTGGACTATTGCAATGGTTTATTATCTGGATGCCAAATACTTCTTTAAAATGTCTTCAGTTGATCCAAAATGCTGCTGCTAGAGTATTAACCAGAGTTAGTAGGAGAGATCATATTTCTCCAGTTTTACTTTCTCTCCATTAGCTCCCTGTCAAGTCCAGAATTGAATTCAAAATCTTACTTCTAACCTACAAAGCTCTCAACAATCTGGCTCCATCTTATATTACAGATCCATATTTTCCTAACAGAGCACTTCGCTCTCAGACTGCAGGTTTACTTGTGGTTCCTAGAATTTACAAAAACAGAATGGGAGGCAAATCTTTTAGTTATCAGGCTCCTCTCTTGTGGAACCAACTTCCAATCTCTGTCCGTGAGGCTGACACATTATCCAGTTTTAAAACTAGGCTTAAGACTTTCCTTTTTGCTAAATCCTATAGTTAGGGTCGGCTTGGGTTTCCTGAGCTGTCCCTTAGTTATGCTGCTATAGGCTTAGACTGCTGGAGGACAAACTGACCACAATTTTCACTCTACTACTGTCTTTACTTACTCTGCTCAACCTGTTTTGCATTTGTAATTATTTTTCTATCCTTAATATGTGTTTTTCTTGTCTTTCAGATACACCTGGACCTATACCTGGACCTGGACCTATACCTGGACCTGGACCTATACCTGGACCTACCATTTTATGTTTGTCAGTCTCTCCTTCCTGTCCTCTCAACCAGCCGGTCAAAGCAGATGGCCGCTTGTCCTGAGCCTGGTTCTGCTGGAGGTTTCTTCCTTTTAAAAGGGAGTTTTTCCTTTCCACTGTTGCCACTGTGCTTGCTCAGGATGGGAGACTGCAACGAAGCCAACATTCAACTTGTCTGCTGGATTCCTTAGATAGAGAACTTTACTAATTGGCTTTTATGTATGTGAATGTTCCTTTAAAGTGCCCTGAGACAACTTTGTTGTGATTTGGCGCTATATAAATAAACTGAATTGAAACTGAATTGAATCAATTTAATTCCCCTGTAGTTGCTACAACCAACTCCTTCTCCATTCCTCAGGCATTTTCTCACCATCAAATATCCATCCATCCATTATCTTTTGCCAGTTTCTTCCATTTTGGGTCACGGGGGTCGCCGGTGCCCATGTCCAGCAATCACTGTGCGAGGGGCGGCGTACATCCTGGACAGGTCGCAAGTCCATCACAGAGCCAAATAGAGACAAATGAGACAAACAACCATTCACTCTCTCACTCACATCTAGGGACAATTTAGAGTTACCAATCAGCCTAACATGCATGATTTTGGTCTGTGGGAGGAAACAGGAGTACCCGGAGAAAACCCACGCATGCACGGAGAGAACATGCAAACTCCACTCAGAAAGGCCACCACACCGGGATTTGAACCAGGGACCTGCTCACTGAGAGGCAGCAGCTCTACCAGTTGCACCACCATCTGCACCATCAAATATGCCATTGAATATTTGAGTCAAAAACCTCACTGTCATCTCTCCAAGACATTTCCAAACCTCCGCTGGCATGTCATCAGGTCCTACTGCCTTCCCCTTCATTCTTTTTAGAGCTTTCCGGACTTCACCCTCACTAATCTAAAAGCCATGGTATTTGACTAAATGCTACATTATTTGACTAAATGACACATTATTTGACTAAAAGGCACATTATTTGACTAAAAGGCAGATTATTTACTAAATTGCACATTATTTGACTTTGGGATCGTGAGCAGTCATATTTTTACATGAATCAGCTTGTTACAAGTGAGGACAGAGGACATGGAGGACAGAAGTCATGGAGGACAGAGGACATGGAGGACAGAGGACACGGAGGACAGAAGTCATGGAGGACAGATGACATGGAGGAAATTTACATGAAGGTAGTTGTAGTGAGGACAGAGGATGATTTTCCACATTAACTGGCTTTGAATATGTTTCTGACCTGATTGAAGCCCTGGAAATCAAAGCCTCCATCTGACTGGAAGAGATGGCTCCTGGTCACCCAGTGCCCGCCCCCCGCCTGCCGACGCTCTTCCACAGCTTTAGCAATGAAATACACCATATTGAAGATAGTCCCAAAAAGCGGGGACACCTGTTGAAAAAAATCCATGACAAAAGTTTAACATAAATACAAAATATAATTAGACAGCAAGACAAAACATCTTTGAACTGAAGGATTTCTGTCTCATGGCTTCTTGAGACCTTTGAACCGGCATATCATTATCTTAAATTGTTCTGTCGTATAACTTTAGTGGATCCTGAACTCAGTGATTAGTAGCTTCAGCAGGTCTTCTACAATATGAAAGCTTTTACAACTGTCTGGGACTAACACTTCAAAATTAAATGTTTTAGGTTTTGTAAAGCCATGCATAAAATTTGTACAAACTGATGAATAAAAAGTGTGTGTGTGTGTGTGTGCGTGCGTGTGTACGTGCGTGTGTGTGTGTGTGTGTGTAGGACTGTAACAACATTTATACCTCTCTCAGCCAACAATCATGTAGTGCATTCTGCTGCTATTTGTTTCCGACATAAATGACAAACAGAAAAACATCAACATGACCAGGACTCCTTGCTGTCCTCTGTGGTCCAGCTTTAAGGTGAGGTATAAGGTAGTGGTGTAATGGTACATGTGGGTGTACCGAACCGTTTCGGTACAGCATGTTCGGTTCAGTCAACGTGTACCGTTTCGTTTTTTTTTTTTTCACTCATTACATTTTATTAATGAGAGATTATGCGCTGCGGAACTAAAGTTTATAAGAGTGTTTCAGCATGGTGCTATTTATTGTTGCATAGTCTTGCGGCACGCGTAGCATTAGCAGCCTAGCAGGCAACAAACAAGCCAGAGCTTGACGACCCTTTTATCTTATTGCAGTCTCCTGTTTGGGAACATTATGGCTTTCTTGTTAAAAGACAAGTGAACAAATCCAAAGCTGTGTGTCGGCGTTGTTTCACAGAGATTGGATCTGCAGCAGGCAACACGTCTAACTTGTTAACGCGCTTGAAACGATATCATCCGAATGTGAACATCTTTTCTACAAGGAAGAAACAACCTTTGTCAGGTAATTCAGATTGGTACAAATAAATAACATAAGCTGTAGAAGTTTTTAAAGCTATGGATCTATGTCCGAATTCTGTTGTTGATGTGCCGGCTTTAAGTTCTTGAGCCCCGCTGCCTGCGACATCCCATCACGTCAATATTTCAGCCAAAAAGTTTTACCAGAATTTTATGAAAAAGCTGAAACTGATTGTCAACAAGCCCGACCCCAGATTTAAAGCCCTGCCCTGATGATGACGAACGAGAGATTCAACCACTTCATATCATAAATGATGACCGTGCAAGAAGAGGTATTGTTATTTTATTATTATTATCTAATTAACTTTTTAAATTTAAAATTATAATCTTATAACTCGTTTTTCTTTTTATCTCTTTGCGTTTGAAGTCTGAGGATGTCAACAAACCCTCAAGCCCAGATTTAAAGCTCTGCCACATCGATGATGATGAGCGAAAGAATAATCAACCACCTCATAACAGAAATGATGATCGTGCTAGAAGAGGTCTTGTTATTGTATTATGATCTAATTAACTTTTTTAATTTAAAATTATAATCTTAACTCAATTTTTTTTAACCTCTGTGTTTGCAGAATGTCACTGAGAGCTGAGCAGCTGAGTTTACTTCATTTTCAGGGAAATGTTTTATTTATTTTTATACAAACTTATTTTTTACTTGGCATATTTTCAAAATAAACGTTTTGTAAGTCTTTATTTTAGCCTTTTTTGTACCAAAAATTAACCCAACCGAGCCCTCCTTGAAACTGAACCAAATCAAAATGTAATTTTAGCATATCATTACACCCCTAGTATAAGGTAAACCCTCCTGTGATTTAAGGTGACCCCTTCACTGATCTAAGGTGACCTCTTCTAGTTTAAGAAGACCCCATGCTCTAGCTTAAAGCAATCACGTTTTGATTTTATGTCAACCCCTTTTTTGATTTAACCTTTCTTTGGGGCAGCTGTGGCTGAGTGGTTAGAGCTCTCTTCCTCCAATACGAGAGTTGGGGGTTTGACTCCACCAGCAGTCATGTGCTGAAGTGTCTTTGGGCAAGACACTGAACCCCTCATTGCCTCCGATGTGTGTCCCATTGGTGTATGAAGGTGTTAAAGCACTGACTGTTTTAAGAGCTCTAGTAAAGTGCTGTATGAATGGGTAAATGAGGGAATATATTGTAATAATAATAATAATGATGAATTTAATTTGTAACGCACTTTTCATTAACAAAAATCTCAAAATGCTACAGAGTGCAACTAAAATTGATAAAATCAACTAAAATCAGCGATAAAATCAACTAAAATCAATTATAAAATTAACTAAAATCAATGATACAATCAACTAAAATCAATGATACAATCATGTGGAGGCAGAATAGGCTTGCTTAAAAAGAAAAGTCTTTAAGCCTTTTTTAAAAGTGTAGTGTAAAGATCTTTGAGATCTTCATAAAATTGAAAGGTGTTATATTCAATACTATTGACCACACTATTCTCCTTGAAAAATTAAATAAATATGGTATAAGAGGACCAGCATTACACTGGGTATCTAGCTATTTAAAAGATAGGAAACAGTTTGTACAAATAAATGGTGTAAGATCTGACCTGTGCAATATCACTTGTGGAGTTCCTCAAGGCTCTGTACTTGGACCAAAGTTATTTATTTTATATGTGAATGACTTAGTGAATGTATCAGGACTCCTCAAATGTGTCCTTTTTGCAGATGACACCACATTTTTCTGTTTGGGTAAAGATGTAAAACGGATGTTGGAATTGATGAAGACAGAATTTGATAAAATACAAACTTGGTTTAAACTTAATAAATTATCATTAAATTTAGATAAAACTAAATACATGATATTTAGTAACAAAAAGAGAACTGTTGATGATCCATTTAAAATTGAGGGTGTTGAGATTTGTAGAGTTAATGAGATGAAATTTTTGGGTGTAATCATTGATGAACAGCTAACATGGAAAAATCACATCAATTCTGTAAGAACAAAAATATCTAAATCTATTGCAGTACTATACAAAGTCAGGGAATTATTAAATGATAAAGCTCTGTACATGTTGTATAACACAATCATTGTTCCACATTTAATCTATTGCATTGATGTTTGGGGGAAAGCGTGTAAAACATTTACAAAACCTATTTTTATTTTACAGAAAAGAGCTGTAAGAATTATCACCAGAAAGCATCACAGTCACCCATCAAGCACATTATTTTATCAACTGAACTTATTGAAGTTCCATGATTTAGTAGATTATAGTATTTTATCAGTTATGTATAGGGCTCAAAATAACACATTACCATTAAATATCCAAAGAAATTTTATTAAAAGACAAAGTTGTTACAATCTTAAGGGGATAGAGATATTTGTCAAACCAAAATTCAGAACTAGTCTGAAGGGAAGGTCTACCTCAATCCAAGGAGTTGGATTGTGGAATGTTCTAGAGAGTGATGTGAAAAATGCCAAGTCAATGTGTACATTTAAGAAAAAGATCAAAACTGAATTGTTAAAAAAATATATATGAAGTAGCTTAGTGTGTGTTTTGTATTAGAAATAGAAAAATTAGAAAGTGTTATTCATTTTGTTCTGTTACTTGTAAATTATTATGATTGAAATAATTGTTTGAAAAAAGGGGCAGATATAATAAGATTTTTTCTTCTTTCTGCTGCCTTTCATTTTAAATCTTTTGTATCCTTTTTTATATTGTTATGGAATTGTTTTGTACTTTTTTTAAATGAATAAACTATATACCATACCATACCATACCATACCATATAAGGACAGTCCATTTAAGAATAGTCATGGCTATAGAACAGGATCCCAATCTTTGAATTAAGGCAACAATTCCTCTGATTTAAGGTGACATGTTTTTTCAGGGACCTACTTTCTCCCTTGCAAATGGTTTTTATTTGTTTAAAAGGTTCCTTCCTCTTGTGATGGCTAGTCACAATTGAGTTATCAAATAACCTAACAAGCATGTTTTTGGTTTGTGAAAAGAAACCATGAGAAGAAGGCATGTACGTGTACACTCCACACAAAAAGGTCATGAAACTGTGATCTTGCTGTGAGGCAACAACACTAACCACTGCGCTGCTGTACCATCCATTCTATAAATACTTTTCATTTACCTTTTAATGTGTATTTACCTCTGTAGCAGCGATAGCTGAGCGGATCTCTCTGCTGATTTGAGCCTGATGAAAAGCTTCATAGAAACTCTGATCAGATGCCATAGTAATGGTCAAAACAGCACTGTAGGCATGGCGTAGCTGCGTGTTGTTAGTCAGATGGTGAAATGTTACATCCTGATTAAAAAGAGCAGAGATCCAATCAGAACTATAATTCCATCTATACATTGCCTGTACTCGCTCTTCCAGGTGGCGAGGGAGCTGATGTCAATCTCTATCAGTCACTGTGTGACAGGCGGGGGACAACACCCTGGACAGGTCATGCATCCAACACAAGAACTATGAATCAAACCATTAAAAAAGGAAAATATATGCAATAACTGTTTTAATACGGTTTCCTAGAATATCTTGCAAAAAGTTCTCGACCTTGACCTCTAAGTGGCTTCAAACATCTGCTAACTTTATGAGAAAAACAATTGCATACATGTTCCTGTTTTTAATTTTCTACATTGCCTTACAACCTAGCTCATTTTTTTTTTTACTTTTTTAAATACCATTTTATTTTCACTTGTTATTCCCAATTTGTATGCATCCTTTATGATTGTCTATTGTTGTCTTTGTTGTCCACTGTTGTCATCACTCTTTGTTAAAATTCAGCTCTCTCTTGTAAATGAGTCTCCAAGGCTCAATGGGATTAACCTGTAAAAATAAGGGTTGAATGAAGAATAACTGTTTTAATAAACACAAGTAAAATTATTGCACTTGTTATTGTTTCTTATTATTGTTTGCCTAGTTTTTGTATTTTTGTTGCTTGCTTGGTATAGCCAAACCGAACTTGTGAGAGTCATACTGCTGTTGTTTGGTGTATTGTTTTGCACTATTCGTGACTAACGTATATCTTAGATTTTTTAGTGTACCATTGGATGCTCGTTTAGCGTATATCTTAGTTTGTATCTTAGATCTTTATTTACTGCTTCAACTCATTTTTAGTTTTCCACCCAATGATTTGCCTGAGTTACAGTAGTCCCTCGCCTTAAACCAGTCACTAGGGAGCACAAGCCAGTGTATCGCTTGTGCTGGTCCAAAACCCAGGTAAATGGAGAGGGTTGTGTCAGGAACAACATCCGACAAAACACTTTTGGCTAAACCATAACGCAAGTTCATCCAAGCAAAACCATATCGGATCAGTCAAGGCCCGGGTTAACAACAACCACCACCAGCACTGCTGACAAACAGGGTCCTGTCAGAAATTGTGCTACTGTTAATCTAAAACCATGAGGAAGGAATTGTGTCAGGAGACAAAGGGAGAAGAGGAAAGTCAAGAATGTAGGACCAAGGGTTGCAACTCTAAATGTGGGGACAATGACAGGCAAAGGTAGAGAGCTGGCTGACATGATGCAGAGAAGGAAGGTAGATGTTTTATTCAATTCAATTCAGTTTATTTATATAGAGCCAAATCACAACAAAGTTGTCTCAGGGCACTTTACAGGAACATTCGCATACACAAAAGCCACTTAGTAAAGTTCTCTATCTAAGGAATCCAGCAGACAAATTGAATCTTGGTTTCATAGCTGTCTCCCATGTATCCAAGAGACCAAGTGGAAGGGCAGCAAGGCTCACAGCATTGGAGCAGAGTTCAAACTGTTTTACCATGGTGTGGATAGAAAGAGAAATGGAGTAGGGTGGTCCTGAACAAGGAATTGGCAAAGAATGTAGTAGAGGTGAAAAGAGTGTCAGATAGACTGATGTGTCTGAAAATAGAAATAGAAGGTCTGATACTAAACATTGTCAGTGGTTATGCTCCACAGGTTGTATGTGATGGGAAGGAGAAATATACATTTTGGAAAGATCTGGATGAAGTGATAGAGAGTATTCCCAAGGAGGAAAGAGTGGTGATTGGAGCAGACTTGAATGGACATGTTGGTGAAGGAAACAGGGTATGAGGAAGTGATTGGTAGGTTTGGTGTCAAGGAAAGAAACCAGGAAAGACAGATGGTGGTGGATTTTGCCAAGACAATAGAAATGGCTGTAGTCAGCACCTATTTCCAAAAGAGGGATGAACATAGAGTGACCAGTAAGAGTGGAGGAAGGAGTACGCAGGTTGACTATATTCTGTGTAGAAGAAGAAACCTGAGGGAGATTGGAGACTGTAAGGTTGTGGCAAGGGAGAGCATGGCCAGACAGCATTGGATGGTTGTGTATAGAATGACTGTTGTTGTGAAAAAGAGAAAAAGCGTAAGATCCGAGAAAAAGACCAAACGGTGGAAGTTGAAGAAGAAAGACTGTTGTGAGAAAGTCAGAGAGGAGCTGTTAAAGGGTCTGGATGGTAAGAAAGAGCTTCCAAATGACTGGACTACTACAGCAACAGTAATTAGAGAGATGGAAGGAAGGTACTTGGTATGTCATCTGGACCGAAAATGGATGATAAGAAAACCTGGTAGTGGAATAGTGAAGTGCAGGACGCCATTCAAAGAAAGAGATTAGCCAAGAAGAAATATGAGTCAGAGTCAGAGTCAGAGTTTCTTTATTGTTATTCGCACCTCATGTGGTACATGTGGTGGAGCGAAATTATGTACACAGGGTCCCAGTTACATCCAACAAGAAAATGTATAAGAAAAACAGTAATAACATCAAAGATATGAACTAAGAAAAACATCAACTAAATATACACTAAGCACTCATAACATAAAAACATTGAACATCAGCACAAAAATGAACATGAGTCTGTGAGCAGATGTGCACGCATGAACACATCAACATTGAAACAGATCAGCAGCAACATGAAACAGATCAGCAGCAACATGATATGGTTTTTCACAGTGATTATTCTAGTTAGAGATTCATGAGTCTAACAGCCTCAGGGTAGAAGCTGTTCCTCAGTCTAGTGGTTCTACACTTAATGCTCCTTAACCTCCTTCCTGAGGGGAGTGGGGCAAAAAGTGTGTGTGCTGGGTGAGTGGGGTCCTTCATGATGCAGGTGGCCCTCTTCCTGCATCTGGAGGTGTAGATGTCTGTGATGGTGGGGAGACTGACACCAACAGACTTCTGTGCAGCCTTCACCACTCTCTGCAAAGCTTTTCTTTCTGCAGCTGTGCATCCTCCATGCCACACATTGATGCTGGAGCACAGGATGCTCTTCACTGCACACCAGTAGAAGTAGGTGAGGGCTGAGCTTCCCAGCTCAGCTTGCCTCAGCCGCCTGAGGAAGTAGAGTCTCTGATGTGCTTTCTTGATCAGGCTGGTGGTGTTGTTGCTCCAGCTGAGGTTGTCATTCATGTGTACACCCAAGTACTTGTAGCTGGAGACCAATTCCACCGCAGATCCTCTTATGTTCAGGGGGGTGTAGAAGTTTTTGTTCCTTCTGAAGTCCACAATCATCTCCTTTGTCTTCTTCACATTGATGTGAAGGTTATTCTCTCTGCACCAGCTCTCCAGGTGTTCCACCTCTTGCCTGTAGCTGGACTCATCGTTGTTTGTGATGCATCCCACCACCGCTGTATCATCTGCAAACTTTACAATGTGACAGCCTGGATGGGTAGCTGCACAATCATATGTGAGCAGAGTAAACAGAAGGGGGCTCAACACACATCCCTGAGGAGAGCCAGTGCTGAGGGTTATGGTGGAGGAGGAGAGGTTGTGGATCCTCACTGACTGTGGTCTGTTTGTTAAAAAGTCTAGTACCCAGTTGCAAATGGAGGGGCTTAGTCCTAGTGTGGATAGTTTGTCCATCAGGGTTTGGGGGATCATGGTGTTGAAGGCGGATGTGAAGTTCACAAAGAGCATACGGACGTAAGAGTTTTTCTGCTCCAGGTGGTTGAGCGCAGTGTGGACCACAGAGGAGATTGCATCCTCTGTTTATCGGTTCTCACGGTATGCATACTGATGAGGGTCCTCGTTGATGTTGATGGTTGTTTTGATGTGAGTCATGACCAGTTTTTCGAAGCATTTAGCAACTATCGGGGTGAGGGCCACTGGCCGATAGTCATTCAGACCAGTCACTGTAGAGCTTTTTGGGACTGGGATGATGGTGGCAGTATTCAGGCAGGTGGGAACTGTCTCCAGGGTAAGTGAGGTGTTAAAGATGTCTGCCAGCACCTCACAGAGCTGATCAGCACATTCCTTCAACACTTTTCCGGGGATGTTGTCTGGGCCAGTTGCCTTGTGCGGATTAATACTCCTGAAGGTACTCCTTACTTCTGCTGAGGTCACGCTGAGATGCTCTTCGTCCGGTGGTGAGGTGAGTCTGGTGCTGGGTGGTCTGTTCGGGTCTTCAAAGCGTGCATAGAACTTGTTGAGGGCATCAGGCAGAGATGGGTCTTTGGGGCATTGTTCACTCCTTCCTTTATAATCTGTTATGCACTTAATGCCCCTCCACATGCTCCGAGGGTCTTGTGAGATGAATTGACCCTCGATCCTCTTTGCATACGTGGCCTTGGCCCTCTTAATACCAGCAACCAGCTCTTTTCTTGTCCTACTCAGCTCCTCTGAGTTTCCAGACCTGAAGGCCGTGTTCCTGGCTTCCAGCAGGGTACGCACCTCTGCATTCAGCCAAGGTTTTCTGTTTGGGTAGGCAAATGGACACCAAATTTACGGAAGATGTGACCTAGAGGAAGGAGGTAAATGTTGAAGAGGAGGGGTCCGAGGACAGAGCCTTGGGGGACACCTGTGGAGACGGGGGAAGACTGGGAATGAAAGGATTTGAGCTGAATGAATGGAGTGCGGTCAGAGAGATATGATTTGAACCAGTCTAATGGAGTACCTGAGATGCCAATGGAGGTTAGTCTGTTGAGGAGGATAGAATGACAGATTGTGTCGAAGGCAGAACTTAGATCAAGTAGAATGAGGATAGACAGAAGAGCAGAGTCAGCAGTAAGAAGAAGGTCATTAGTTATTTTTATTAGAGCTGTTTTGGTGCTATGGTGGGTGTGAAAACCAGATTGAAACTCTTCATAAATGTTATTGTTGGATAGGTGAGAGTGAAGTTGACTAGCAACGGCTTTTTCAAAAACTTTGGAAATAAAGGGCAGATTAGAGATTGGACGAAGATTAATGAAGTTGGTAAAGTCAAAACCTGGTTTCTTGATGATGGGGGTGATGGCCGCAGATTTGAAAGCTGTGGGAACAATGGCAGAGGTTATGGAGGAGTGGATGATGTTAGTTATGATGGGGAGCAGAGA